CACATGCAGGTGAATGGTTAGCTTTACGTTCTGGTCACTTTACCCACGGAGAAATAGGTCCCGATACCCACTGTATTAGAGGCTAAGTGGTCTGAAGAGCCAATATGGTTGTGGTGGTGAACAGAGAAACTCCCTCGCCAGAGATCAAACCCCGGTGCTCCAATCCGTAACCGGTCATGATTGCACTATCCCGATTCCTTTAGGTTAGACATATTGCAATTGGACAATATATGATAATCTGTATTTGTCGAATTTAACACACGAATGTCGGTATTCTGATAATTAACAAAACAGCTTATTCCATCTTTTCTAAAAAGAGCTTCTAGACTTATCCCACTTTGTTACTCACAAGCGAAAAAGCTCGGAAGAATGGTCACTTTAAATCATTAATAACTAACCACATGATGCGGAGTCATTCTTCAGAAGCTGACAGTAGCTGAACTAGAAACGAAATTCTCTGCATCCGAATTTTAAACGGGCCAAATCCAGAGATACGAGATGAATCCATTCCACACCTTCACGTCCTGTTTAAATTCCATTGTATTATACTTCCATCTATGCCCAGGTCTCCCAAAAGGTATCTTGTCACCAGGGTTTCATAAATTAGTATTCTGTATGTATTTCTCATATCTCCCATGAATACTATCGTGTTTTTCTTCCCCCAGGTCAAAGGAAGGTAGATACAGCGTAAATCGAAAGTTAACTTTCTCGTACTTTTAAGATAAAACTGCGACGTGAGACAGGGATTTTTTCGTTCTGCTACAGAAAAGTTCATTTTGTGTTTCTAAGCTTTACAATTGTCGCCAATTTGGCTCGAAGAAGTAGAAAACAAACGATTAATTTCGCTTCTACATTTTCCCTATAGGTGCACACTGGATAAACAATAAATAATCTAAAGAACTGTTCACTTATGTCAACAGTATTACATGAATGTTATTTGTATTGTCCAGACAGTCAGTCAATAAATCAAAATTGTAAACAAAATTTCCGTTCTGTTCCCACAGTTGATTAAGGAAACTTGCCTCTGGTACGGTAAAAAAAGGTTAGCATGTAGGTGATACGTGCTCTGTAGAATTTGTGGGAAATAACGGTAGCTGAAACGCACAGGCTCTGAGGACGTAGCGCGTTTCCCAAGGGACCATCCTTCAGAGAGCACCGCGCTGCTCTGACACACCTGGTGGTATCGACGAGCAGCCAACGCGTAGCCGAACGCTTCTGACGGGATGATTCACGCCGCGAATAATCGCAAATGACCGAATCGATAAATTCAATACGGACCAGATCAGCTAATTTACTTTGATATTGATATTTACTTGTAAAGTTATATGCCTACAAGTATTCACAATATATTTCAACACCAGAAGGACTAAGTGAGAAAGGCAGTGTCGTATAACAAAGACTAGAACGCGACCGTGAAGTAATTATAAATTATGTTTCATATACAAGGGACTTCAGTTCTAATTTTGTAATTTTTTTCTGTTTAACCACTTCAGATCAGTTCATTGACAGTATACTAAAATAGGCCACGATAAATCCTCTTAGTCAACCATGCACAATCAATCACTTCATTTGACATAACATCAAAATCTGCAATCAGCACTGCATAAATGTAATTTATCCTGGCCACCTAGCATTGTCGAGGTAGTAAGATAATAAATAAGACTGGAGGATATTATTAAAAAGAATATTACAGAAGAAGATTTTAGAAAATGAAATGAGTTGAACTGACTCAGAAACCTACCCGATGGTGGAATTTGATGTAAGCGATATTCAACCAGCAGAGAGTTAATGACTTTGAGTCAATTTATCTTATGGACGTTGGTTGATTAGTAAGTTATTTAATTATACGCGGATTGTTTAACGACGAATGACAAGAGAATAAATGTATGAAGTGTGTTATAATTTATGAAGATACATTAAACTAAAACAATCCTATAATTTTATACAATTCAAATATATCCTAAATTTAAACACGAACTATTAACAACGATCAAAGCACTGCTTCCTAGACATAAATGAACTCATCTTGTACTTGTTATGTAGGATCAAAGTGCCTTCTGCACTGAGGGAAAAGGTTCTTTTATTAGTATTCTTTTCATTAATTGTCACTGAATCCAGGAACAATCAAAACGAAGCTCAGAGGGGGTTCAGTATTCGTATTACGCCGTGTCAAGCTCGCTTGTCTGAGCTAAAAACTAGTTTTATTGTTTTCACATCTGCACGTGAGTGAGGCGTTTTTTCAACAATTGACTTGGAAAAGTTTTACTCAATTATTGTGGCCCAAGATTGGCCAAGCGCCTGTATTAGGGTGCAACCTCATATACGACTTAAATACCAGTCAGTATTCTCCACGGATACATGGATTACTCATGAAACAATATTTGGATGTGAAGGGTGTACAAATAATGAAGAGTTTAGGAATACAAGCAGAGCTACCAATTGTGTGAATTCCTATTGTACAGAGTTCCACATACGCGTATTTATGTTTCTCAAACATCCTGATCTGATATTTTTAATTAAAATTTAATTTCAGGTTATGATCTTGTGGGTTGTGATAATGTGAAGTCCTGTATATGGTCGCAAACGTTGCGAAGAAACGTAGAGCCTCCATATTCAGCGTATGTTCATTTCGTTGCTTGTCGAATAAGACAAGTTATATTTTGTGTTAATTCAAAATCATTAACGTAAATTGGCTGATTTGCTTTGAAGACATAATGACGGAATTTACGCCTGTATTTACTATCCGGTGATTAAACGAACATTTATGGTGTACTACACCTAGCAGAATGGTGTAAATATTAACTCTCTAGACTAGTATTCAGGAGGTATCGGATATGAATCTCTGTGGACCGGTTAATCTGACAGCGGTTTTTTGCGGTCTTCAACACTATCTTTAGGCGATATCGGGTAGGAATTTTCCTATAAGCCATGGTCGCCTCTTTTTAAATCATCATGATCATAAGCCAATCGGAATTCATGCTGTCATCTCTGCAGTTGTTCTAGTGTTATAAAATACAATTAATCAGTACGAAATGCACATAAGAAAGACTCATAATAATTTGTTAAATTATGAGTTAATCGTAATTTTATAAAATTAATTTACTTTCAGGCAGTGCCATTACTCTACAAAACACAACAGTTGATAAAACACAGACAATGTATGCATAACTAGTTATTCGGAACTAGATTCAGTATAGTTCAACAAATACCTAGAAGGACGGGCAGATTATAGTACGCCGGACATGTTTAAGAAATGAAGTTGTAAAACTAACCAGTAAAAATTCATTTAAGGTAACTGTAAAGCTACACATGTCAAAATTATGAATTATTGAGAAGAAATGGCTTTCGAAAAAGCGTTTCTTATGTATAGAATCCTCATAACATGAAAACACTTCCTTGTATCTTCGGTGTTCGGCTAGAAGATCTTCAGTTAGCCGTAATTAACACTGACTTAAACACTTCTCACCGATTCTCAAACATTTATAACACGAAAATTCTAAGTAAAACTTCAATAAGCACAATATTGTCACTGTTCCTTCATTCACCTTGAATGGCAGTGCAGATTTCTCTCATGATCTTTCAATATGTCCGCGGTTACCGCTGTCTGAGGACGTTTTCATGTGACTGGTTTCCTCAACTTTAGCTCGTGTCACACTGACTCGAAAAGGGAGCAACACTACAATAAAAGAATAACGATAACCCAAAGGAAAAGTGTTTCTTCAGAACGGAATTGAAAAATGTAGTTCTACATGGAGAACATGTGACGTCAAACGCAGATCCCAATCTTTCCTTCCCAGAAGTAGCAATTGATTTTTTCTTTCTCAACAGAAGCATATACACACATACAACCCGGGGGGGGGGGGGGGGGCAGAAAGGGAGGGAGACGTTTCCCTTCACGGAAGTAGTAGTCAACTGGGGTAATCGTGATCCTGTAGGATGGTTACGTATTCAGTCTTTAAAAGCCCCTGCAGTCACGAAAATGCCGATAGTTGTAAACAAAATTCAAAACAAGGAGGATGCTGTAATTTGCCGAATAACGAAATGAGAAGCCTAAGATGCTCTCTGTAATTTCCATGGCTTCATGTTCTTGTTCTAGGGCTCTTCCTGAATACACATTCGTCAGATGTTGCAGCAAATAAATAATTCCCTTATTTCAGTACAGTTTATTCTAAGAACGACCTGGCAGAAGAAGGAGTGCTCTCGCTAGTCTAGAATGAAATTAAGGATGGAAAACTTGTCGATATCAAATGAAGCGGATTACATTGCTACTTAGATTCTTAAAGAACGAGGTTGAAATCTCTCCCTAGAAAAGAAAAAATATCTGAAAATGTTACGTGTGTCTAGTGTCACTCAGACCGAAGTTAGAGACGTTATATAATTAATATTATTGTTATAATCATCGCACTATTTAAAGAATATTAAATTATAGTTGGTAACCTGAAAGGAAAGGAACTGATATTTTCATTATAGACTGTGAATCGTTAACATTACAGCATTAACACTACCGTCTTCTGGGTAACTACGCCGTCTAGTCTGGTAGAAGTTTACTTATACTTTAGAGGTCCTTGCTACCTCCATCATCAGGGCGATGATAGAGGCAGTGAGCTAGCTGTAAATACAGATAATTTTCAGTAGCAACAATGATTAACTGAAATCTGATAATTACTTCCGTGAATATAATTTCAAACCAAAGTAACAGCTTTTCCCTCATTTCATAGATAGTTTACATTAGGAAATCAATGTAATATGACTGAAAATAATTCCGAAATAATTATGTTTCACAGAAATCATTTCTTATTAAATAATCATCTGGAAAATTCACAACAAACCAAGCCCTCAATCTGGTTGGCGTTTCCTTAATTTAAGGTTCAGGCTCCTTAACCTCCCGCTCTAGTTTCAACGTTGTAATTTTCAATTTTTGACAACCCAGAAGACGACAGTCTAAATTCCATCGCCGTGCAAAGTCAACTCTCATACCAAGTCCATTGTGAAGCGCTTACCTCATATCTTTATCACACTTGTTTCCAACAATGACCATAGGAACTCTCGACAAGGACGCCTTCTTCCGTCCGCTTCCAGAACTATTTGCTGATGCGCATGCGCTTAGTTTGGTTTCCAGAATTTGTTCGCGCAAACGCACTACCTCTTCGAACGATTCCCGGCTGTCCATACTGAATACTAACAGGAATATATCACCTGAAATACAATACAGATATTTTCTATTAAGATACAACACCTCTAAAATATGGTTATCGACTATCCGGTGCTCAGTGGATGTTTTATCGCACATCAAATGAGTGACAACTCTTCACATACATTTCTCATATCCAGTACATAACATAAATTCAGCTCTATTCTGGGGTTGTGACATTTCACCTGTGCATTATTTTTGGGATGTAGCTTCTACACATTAATAAAATCTAGCCCTTTGCAGTGCCCTTTAATTCCATTATATTCTGATTTAGAATAACCGGTTTAAACCTCATTCTTACAATACGTACGACAGTGGGCATGTAATTTTACTTCCTTCTACCTTCGTGAGAATTGATATTCTAGCGGCGGTGATTATCAAGATGACAATTATATTCTTTCTAAGTTGTTAGACATGGCGAAGAAAAAGTAATGTAAATTCTTCATAAGCGAACCCAGTTATTACATTGTAAAGACATATGGGTGTTTACTTTTTCCATTTCATTCAATTATGCAGCACTAATGTGAATTTTAATTTATGCTGTTAAAACTACAGGTAAGAGTAAATTTCGTATAGTCAATAGACGTGTTTAAAAACACATCTAAATTTAATTAACGCAAGTGGTTACATGAAACTATCATAGAACTGATAACAGGAAATAATTAGATTCTGTAAACCAACACAAATTAGACTGTAAATTTGTGAGTGGTTTGAATACTTCACTGTACATTATTAGGCATGTATTTTAACTGTTTAATTATTTTAACTGATATGTATGTTCTAAAATATCAAGTACATTGCAATAAAAATAAGAAAACCGCAAATACCATTACAAATGTAAATAAAACAAAAGAAATACCACTACAATCCACTGAGCACACTGATATTACAACTTCATTAAAATGTGTAACTAACAAAAACACAGACTTTAATGTGTAGTTGTACTTATTCTCCTTATTGTAGGAGTTACTATGGACTAGTGTTAACTGAAAGGAAATTCTCCCGGCGATATTTAGTATAGCTCTAAACCGCTCGATATACAACACATAGACAACCTCCATATTATGGAATCACTTTATAGACTTCAAGCGAAAACCGCACATACTTTTAGACTATAGAGCTAATAATGTAGAGTTCTAAATGTACGTGCTTTTAAAGAGTAGTGAAAACTTCATTAAAATGTTTAGGGTTCACGGGCCGTAGTGTACCCATTTCAGTAACGATGTAGCCAACTAACCTGACCGAGGTCATCCGCAGTTGTCCGCGTTATTCAGAGAGTATAGAACTACGATCGCTGAACTGTAGAAGTTAACTCGTAAGAGCTATGAAAATTATTCTATATGGTAAATAGAATGTCGTAGCGATCGTGGCCAATTTGAAGGTACTGTTCCAAGAACGTTGGATAACTACGAGAATCCATTTACCCGGACGAGGTTCGAATGTAATTTCTTGCGAACAAACTCACTCAACGCTACTGCTCTGGAACAGAGAATAAGCTGTAGCTCCAATAAGACGAGAGAGGAGAAGAAAGTAAATAAAAAAGAACAGGAAGAGGGAAGTACGCCAATCTTTATCTTTAAAGATGTTTCCGTTGAGCGGATCCTGACAATTCTTCGTTATTTCTTCAGGGTAAGCTGCATACGTATCTCAAGCGTTTTAATTTAAACACTCCAGAGATTGTAGGTGAGTAATATGAATGTCTGTCACCTAGAAAAAAATTCTCCTTTTCGTTTGTCTGTTACAGAACCAAGTATTCTTCACAAAGGGACGTGATTTCAGATTAACATGACAGGTTGTTTCCATTAAGGAATCCACCTTGTTTCCCATTGTCTTCCTGAGCATGGCACCGGAAATCAATAAAACAAACTCACCATAGATGCTTCTGACTTTTCATTACCACCATCAGCACCAGAAAAAGAAGGCGATGAAGGCCATTGAGCGTCTCCTATTGGCACTTGTCTGTAAGAGCATTCTGGGAAAGAAGCTCTTCGGTTACAATATGAACCAGAACACGTGAGGAAAATGTTATTTACTGGAGGCTCAGAATTATTTCATCCCTATTCCGAGCATAAGAATAAATAATGTTAGTTGGCTAAATAAAATGTCAAATGTCACTATACCATTAGTAATAGCAGATCAGAAATATGACATTGTGTAATAAGAAGGATATTCTTCATCTGCAGAGATGACATTTCTAAGAACTATTATGAAACGATCAGGATAGGATGAATCTGAATCTGGGATATTACACAAGATCTGAATGTATACACACTACAAGAAAAATTGGCTAAATGAAGAATATAATGGTATGAAAATGAGACACACATTGACGATAAGAAAAAGTCATTCGAAAAGAAAACAGCGAAGATGTCGAATATATGACGGCCGGGAATATAAAAGAGCAGGCGAGAGAAGACGTACAGGGTGGAACCGTGAAAGCAGAACGCAGTTATGAGAAATGTTTATGATAGGATTCAGATAAATTGGGAAGGCTTACTCACAAGGCAACTTAACCTGGTGGATACGTCTGTGGATGCACGGTTCTCACGAAGGTGCCGTCCCACGTTACAGTATTATAGATACCAACGTTCGGAGGTATCGTTGGTTTGCAGCTACAAACCCACACGGCGTTACGACACAGAAGACCAACATCGACGATAAAGATGATCATGATGAAGCTCTTCTTACACTTGCAAGTACTTTCTCTTGTATTTCCACTTTATCTTCATTTCATTGTTCTTTTTTGCCGCAATTTCCTTTGCTGTACCTATTCTATTTTTCTCGTTCTGCATTCACCTTTTATTTAGTGTTTCTTCCTTCTGCTTTAATCCATATTTACTCGCATTCGACAAATATTTCGTCTCTAATCTTCCATCATAAGCCAGAAATGTTATTCTTTGTAACAAGCTTTCCTTAGCAGACTTGGTGGTAGGAAGTTCACTTAAGTACCCTGAATTTGGGTTATCTTATGATAAACAAAGTTAGAAAACGTAGAACTACATTCATGACATAACGCAATTCTAACTTGCCACGACCGAATTGGAATGAAAAACAATACGAAAGATCATAATAGAAAGAAATTGTTCTTCTTAAGATCAACCAACTAACCAGGGAATTATCTATGTTGAGCGATGTCCTTTACAAATTAGAAACGACTTCTTTGGTATCAATTTTATACCTGCGCACTTGTAAATCCTATATTAATATTTAGTTTCTCATGAAATTTGCCTACGGACCACATCTGGAATTCTGGCGGGACCCGTGATGCCTATCACTGTAGCAGAAGAAGACACTAAGATACTGTAGGTCCATCATGAACCCTGTGAAACAGCACTGCTCTGCTGTAACCACCAGCAGCGACAAACATGCATTCTTTTCAATTTGGTTTGCCACTAACTTCGCCTCTAATCGTGACAGATGAGGGGAAGTGCTCTGCGTAGTGAGACTGCACTACTGTAAGCCATAAGAACCCTCTTGTTCCATCCCTGTTTATTCCTATGACTAGATGGGGTCGCATAGCAAAGGCCGTAGAAACCAATAAAGTCAGATTTATATCAGGTGTGTAAAACGAGGGAGATATAGTGAAAAAACGAATTTTATGACAACAGATATAGGTAGACAGACGGAAACGTATCAACAGGTACGTAACTTCCCTCCCACCAATCCAGTCACCAAGTACGAGGGACATTACAGTTTTTTGTGTGGGTTTGTGAAATCGTGACATTTATACGTCGTAGACTACACTTAAAAGCTGTACATATACGTTGGTTGAAGAGACTCTTTCTAAACTACGATAAAATAAATAATTTACTAGTTTGCATTTAGTAATAAAGAAGCTACAGATTTTACAGCAAAACAATGATTAACCTGGTTAGTTAAGATTACTATGGAAATCAAATTACCTTTCATTTGTAACTCGTGTGTGTCTTATTTCGATACGTGCGCATTTCCTTCACTATTATGTCTGTCCATCCGTCTGTAGTCACACACCACATAAGCTTTCTTTGTAAAAGTAATATAAAATGCTCTTCCAACATCAACATTGCAGACCCAATCAATACTCTTGTAATTACTTTTGTGTTAAAGCTAGAATCTCTTTTATTGGTGTCGGACTGCCTTGAGAGTGAGAGAGGGGGAGGATGTGTATGAGGAATGTTGCCTCTCACCATTATGTTATGCTCATAAAAGAGTGTACTTGTGCTTGCCCGGGAGAATCACCTGCCCAAACCTAAAATGTCAGGCCACCCTAAGTAAGCAGGACGTATTATTGCGGTCTCACTTCGTGTTACTTTATGTTTGCTTTTAAAGCTTAATTAATGTTGTTAACTTGTGTCATCTGTAAACAACAACAATATAAATTATAAAATAAAACAGGAGATTTTGTCCATAAAATTTCAACGGATATTACATTAATATTTCTTACAAAACTATCTAAAATATGTACACAGTTAAATTAAGCTAAAAGCTGTTCGGGAGATTAAATATTTTTCTGCCACGCTGATTTCCTCTATACTGTTTTACATGAAGACGCAGAATTATAATAAAGGACAAAACAGCCTTACTTAAAATGTGATATTTCTGTAGGGGTTGTGACTGAGTAGGATTAGACAGTTATCAGGGAAGTCACATATTAGAAACTGTTGTCCCCCGAAAACTAAACCCAGAATTCTCTACGCAACAGAGAGCTTGTAAAAGTCGCTCTCCTGAACGGAATCTCAGTTTTTTTCTAAAAGTATTTTACATGGATTCAGGGGGATTTAGGCTGAAGTACTCAAGGCTAATATTTAGGCTTAAGATAAAAGACTTTTCTCCCTTTTCGTTCGCCCGTTTGTTTTTCTCCTTTCTTCACGTTATATTCTTCTCTTTGCTCTCGTTATTTCTGTTCATCACTGCCCTTTCTTCGTTCCATGCTGGTCAATCTCCCTTGTTACATTCGTTCTGTCTTCTTTCTTTTCATTAATCGGGCAGCCTTCATACTACGCAGACACCAAAAATACTGCGGTAAATTCTCTAATAAGGTTTTAAACAAATTAAGAACAATGATGAGTCCAGAAGGAACATCATTATCATAAACATCGCTGCCGCCGTAAAAACAAAATCCCACAAGGTTTCGTACAATATTCTTCAAATCACCGGGTCAAACCGCAGTTGTTGTGAAACAGAGCGGGAGGCCAGATAACATGAAAATTCGGGTTTAAAGTAAAATTCATGTAAAATCGATGATGTAGGGTTTCGAGCCGGCCCACAGAATGACAACAGACTTTTTGATTAACTGTGCCGACTGCCGACTCTTCCCGGCTTTATCTCTGGTCCTCGCATCGTTTCATCCCCCCTTCCAGACGTTTACAGCCTTCTTCACAGTTCTTGAGGGAATGAGTCAAGACTTCTATTCCACGTACGGCCTCATAATATTCTCCATTATACACCGCCGGTTGGCACGACAGGAATTTTAGAATGAGAATCGAGAAATGTGCACCGCATCACCCTGGAAGAATCGACAAAACTGGTATATAACGCGACTATTTCTCTCATACGTCACACACTGATCACGTAGGTGCAGTGACTGTCAATACTGCTCCGTATTTGGGAGGTCTCAAATTCGATTCTTGGCTCGAAGGTCTGCTGCTTACGTAGTTTCGTGATTTCGATCAGCTGCCTGAGCAAAATGTTGGAATAACAATAAAACATTTAGCCCTGTCTGTATGAAACGAGAATGTAACGTTCTGGAGACTGCCTTTATCATCATTGACGCACTTTAATGATAGTTTTAGGCAACGAAGCAGTAAAACAAATACTTGGCTCTAAATTATTCTTTTGAAGTATAATTTGCTAAATTCCTTCCTCATGCTGGTGAATTAGTTTCACATAGTATGGTATTAGATTGTCAGTATTTTTACATTCCATGCAGTGTGCAATTATACGTTATTGCTTCGTTGCTATGTCATGAGAGAGTGCTTTGAAACAACCTGATCAACAGAATTAATATTTAATGTGTAAGCATACTGATTGATTGGCGATGAAATAATCAAATTACTGAGCTAATTCATGTGTGTACACAACGCATAAAAGGTTTTATATAAGTTACATGAAAGCTAAAAAAATTCTATCCCTGATCACTGACTGTTTATTTTACAATGTTATTTTATATGTTCCCTTAATTAGTTTAGTTGTAAGTCACTAAATAAGTTGTAATTGAATTAATATTCCGAACAAGAAGACAAAAAGCCATAACGCGATATAAAATAGGTCTGTTCCTTGGATAATTTGGAAAGGTAAATCAATATTTAAACTGGCTACTTACAAAGTTGATTATATACTTGTCTTAGTTTATGCTTTATGTCATGAAGAATACACGTGAAATAAAAGCATAACAGGAGGTCGTCCGTCCACCCATATGTTTCACCTTCTGAACATATAAACTCGTATTGTAGGGGTACCCTAGGCGCCCGTTAGAGCTATGACTTAGGGAACGGACATGGACGGTAAGAGGGAAGTAGAAACTCTGGAACTGGAACATTCTATCTCTGTGGATTAATGAGCGCAGTGGCGACGGTGTTTAAATAAACTGGACGTATGAAATCCTCTCACCGTTCATATCTGCTGGTTCCTGTCTATTTTTGCAACTGCTGTTTCAGAGCTTGCTAGAAATCTGAGCAACAAGGTTCGAAACTACTCTTTACATATTTTGTCTTTCTCTTTCCCACACACCCCTTCTGGGCCTATATAAACTCCAGTTAACCCATCCCTCACGTATTCGGGCTGAAAGTCTAATTACTGACAAAGGAAGTTGGACTACCCGTTTCTCTCAGCATTATGTAATTACAGCGCCCGCCTTCCTTTTGTCAATATTTTAGAATGTAATGATTTGTAACAAGCGTCATATCACACGCTTCAATAACATGTGCTATGGCTTCAAGAAATGTCAAATATCAAAATAGTATACATATTGATAAGAAACAGGCAACGGATTATCGCTTGAGCGATACACGTTGGGAATAAAGCTCTTTTGCCCTCTTTCCACTTAATAAAATAAATGATCACAAAACTCGGATATCGTGTACATTACTCCCTGTGTCCATCTGTCTCTCCACGCTTCATCTCCCGGACCATTTCGCCACTGGTCAATTAAAGAGTATTACTGGTTCTCTTTCAGACGATAAAATGTTTCCTGCTCAATAAATATTCTGTATTGCTTACTAAGTTAAATATATGGTTGCCCAAAGACAACACTAAAGTTCTGTACTTATGCTGTAATATCGAACACTTTAATACGAAAAGAAATGTGCTACGTACGGGTACTTGAAACATAGAAAAAGCCTATACAATACCAAAAGCGTGCGTTTAAATGTAACTAAAGGCTTCGTGTTGCTTTTATGAAACTCTGAACTTTAAATCCTTGTCCAAGTATTAATTATTATTGTCAACTTTGCGATAAAAGATTTGTTTCTTTCAAGCGAATGCATGGAAATTCGAGAACACATTCGGAAAAATAAAAACAAGTACGCCGGAGTAGAACCTACATATTTTCATTATTTTCTGGGGGTCTATAACATGCTGTGGTATTGTGCTGAATTTTAAATCAAAACCTATATTAACACTGCACACAAATTACTTATAACAAAAGTTATCAAACTGATTTGCTCATTGCTACTGCACGCACTAAATAGCCTCACAGACAACCAATCACCAAACAAGCCACCAAATATGATACGTAAATTAAATCGTATTTAACGGCGATTAACAAACATGCAACGTTACCAAAGTCTGCAACTGTGTTATTTATTGCAGTAAGATGCTTAATTAGTCCTAAAAACAACCTATAAAATTTTAACATACGGCTGTTGTAACCATAACGAGTTAACTTCAGTAGCAATGAATATATTCATGGAAGTAGTTTATTGTATTGTAACCTAACCTAAACTAAATTAAACCAAATCAAACCAAACCTAACTTAACGTTACCTAATCAACCTTAACCTAACCTAAGGTGGCTTAAGTCCATACAAGTAACTATTTTCATATGTACGTCACATCATTCAGGTTGGCAATGAAGCATATGTTGCCCTTATATCTTATCCGCATTGTGTCGCATGGTAGTACAATTCTTATGGGGCCAGTATTTGATTGCGTACTAAACCTGGTAATAATAACAGTTCTGATATTGCACTGTAGTCTTCATTTTAGTTTTATGATGATCTTTTACCAACAAAGTTCCTACTTCTCGAGTCATCTAGCGGGTGTACTAGATATTTGCAACTCTGCTCTTCACTTTCATTTTAAATGAACCTGAGAAAATAATTTTAACTTACCAGTAAGAAAAGACAATCTTCTCATGGCGGGAAATGGGTGGTTTCCGGAAGTGTCCAGAATGTCCAGCTGATGGACCTCATTACGAATGCGGTAAAGTTTCCGGTGGAAGTCCTCAATGGTCGGAGTGTAAGAGTCCTCAAACTTGTTGTTAAGAAATCTGAAACAAAAACGTGCGAAGTTTCTCACACAGAAATATCAAGATAACAATACAAAAATAAGCTCCAATTAACTAAATTTCAAGAATGTTTCAGTCCCGAGAATGTAGTACAATATATGAATGCGTGTGTGGGCTGGTTAGCCAAAGCGGAAATATCTCTGATTTGTATTCATGAATGAGGTTGCTCAAATATCGACTTGCCCAGCAGCTATTCTGTGTCGATTTTTCTACATTTCCTCAGAATTAACAGATGAATTCTGAGACAGTTCCTTTAAATTTATGACGTTTTCCTTCTACAACATGTTTATATATACTCCCTGTTTATGACCATCCTCCTATTTCATATGATGATATTCTATTGAAGGCGTTATAAAATAGCATACCACGTGATCGATATAAACCGTCGCACACATGTAAGAGTTATATTAGTCCCCACATAACTTAATTTGCAAGGAACTGCGCCTGAAAATACACCATCATTCTTAGATTTCTGCCATGTCGCCCCCAACTGTTTGTATTCAAGCCAAGTCTGAACTTGCCATAACTTTGTGGGAAAGTAAATAAAGAAACTCGTTCCGGAGCTCGCTGCATCTCCATGCTTTGAAATTGAATATTCAAGAGTACATAAAATCTTCGCTAAAGATGCGGCTTTAAATATTAGACAAATAAACTGTTATTACATCCAAAATATACTTTAATAACCAAAATTAAATTAATTTTTCTTTAAGACAACTCTCATACGTTGGTTCGTAGCGTTATAAAATTAAGAATATAAAATTTTCTGAATATACTCGTAAAAATAAAATCCTGTTCTGTTTAATACATTTATCATCAGGAGAATTTTTGGCAGACTTTCTTTTTGTCATATTTTCTTAAACCATGTTACTTCCGAGATGTGTATTAGGCCTACAACTAACTACACCTTCGGTTTTGTTATTCCCTTAATGTGAGAGTCTTCATTTTCTACTCGAAATAACAAGTAACACTGAAATTTCATATGATAACTTTTGCGTTTTTAGATAGGAAGCGGGAAAACAAAAAGGTTATGATCTGTAGAATACATTTCCGGAATTTAATGAGTTTCTACATGAATGTATTCATGATTTGCTACTGTCACTCCCAGATATTTTATATTTGTTATTTAAAAATAAAAGTAAAGGTATCCCACTAGACGCCATGGAGGAGCTTGTGAGGGAGAGGAGTACAGCTCCTGCTCATTCTTAATCTCAGTACTAGATGGAGGTAAGTGGTCAGAGTCACGCTCTGTCTGCTCTTTACCCGCGGGGTAAGAACCCCAGTACCCTAAATTTAGGAGGATAGGTGGGATCCACAGCCGGCCTAAACACAGGTGATAGAAGAAAAATTCTTTGCCTCTGCCCGGTTGCACAGTCTGTAGTCTGAATCTGCACTGACTGAGCCACCGCGGCTCTCTTGTTATTACAGATACGATACAGAAAACAAAGGACGTTTTAAAACCAGGCCCTGTCTTCAGACACAAATGACGGCGATAAACGCTGATAGGTGGAATAATTAGTGTGTCGTGTCAGAGAGGGCCACGCCCATCAGTTAGGCTACGCTGGATGGCCAACAGCAGCCAAGGTAATTATGACTAATTGTGAGTCGCATTCAGTGCCGGTCGGCACTCACAATTAATTATCTTTTGTGAAAGCCAAGTCGACAAGTTTGTTCACACAGCATCAGACTTTTCCTGTCAATTGCCGTTCGAAACGCCCTATTGACAGGGAAGCTGATCTGAAACTATAAGTAGGTGACAATTAACGTATAAATAAACGAAAGCTACCCTTCCATGAGGGAAAACAGCAGAGAACTGCAATTCCACTAGATGCAATTTGCATGATTAGTTCGATAATGTAATTACAGACAATTCAATTGCAGATCTTATATATGTCAATATCGTTCCGGATTCAATACACAATAATGACAGTGGCAGATGTTTTCGACTCGACTCCTGAATGTAAACATAAATCATAAGGTGTTTCACCTAATAACATTTTCATTAATGAATCATAAGAATGCAATGAAAATATTTACCATGGACAGAAAATCAACACACTGAACGTTTTATGGCTTCTAATACAAAAAGAATAATTCGTTCTTCATAATTTTATTAGGCTATGAATTAATTTATTTTATTGAATTGGATAATATTACGTAAAATTCGAATTTCAACGGCTACAGAAGTATTCTCTTCTCGTGTATTCCACAGTCACAAAATCCCAACTCATTAAAACAATTCATTTAGATCCATTAACATCGATAATTGTTTATTGACTGCTAGAGTTGGCGACATCTCTTCCGTAAAACGTTGCATTAATTAACTTATTTGTTATAACTGGAAAGCGTATTTTTTTACTAATTATTACTATACACTTCTAATGAATTATCCGTGATGTTACTTTAACTCCAAAACTTCATAAACTACCAACGTAAAGCGAATCACACATACGTTCGAGCTGTTCCAAATTCCTCTGTGTAGTTCTGCTAAACATTGGATCACATATCAAGTGCTATGCTGCCCGAAATATAGCCAAAAAACTAAATTAATTAAACTGACTGAAAATCTGCATTGTCTAAATAAAGTAGCACAACTAATTATATTTGCTAATATAACTGACGCCTCCACGATGCAGGACCATTCTTCAGAACCCGAAAGTCGTTAGAAATTCCTTGTTAACCTTCTGAAGAAGACCTCTGATGCATGAAGTCGGTTATATTCCAGAATCTGAATTAAGGCTTGTCCACTTTCCTTCAATTTTCACGAAGTTACTTCAGTATTATATTTCTGTTACCAATGAACGACCTCATTCCATTTTATGTTGATGTATCAAACGCCATGTTACCTATATTGTTAAAATATACACACATGCATATATGTATATTCTATGGATCCGTAAATCTGACTATATTATGTGGAATAAATTATGAAGTACAAAACGTACTGATGAGTACAATTTAAAATATATGTTTTACGAACAATAAATATTTGGAAAAAATATTAAAATATTACAGTAAATCCACTGCTATACAGCAGAATATATGATAGCAATAACACCAAAAAAGATTACGAATCCTCTTTACACTGCAGAAATTTATAAAAAATGTTATTTTTACATTTACAAACAGGCATTTGTCTCTCCAATTATTCTAACTCCCCATAACCTGGTATCCAACAGGTTAGGTTTCTTTCCTTTACGTACGTGCGTAGACCTATAACAATGAACACGCCCTTCTGTTGTATGCATGTTTTTAATCTATGGCATTCCTCATTCCTACACTGGTTTATTTATTTATTTATAGTACCTGGCAACAATGGACGTCTTGCCGACCCTGGAAGATCCGAGGAGCACAAGCCGGTAGCAATTCTTGGGCGGCGGTTTACAGCTGTCCTCACATGACGAAGAACTACCAGGGCTGGGTCCGGAGCCGGTCTGCTGAGAGCACATGGCAGCTTCTGGCTCCCCTTCAGACACAGCTGTTCTTCTGGACGGTGCCTCCCCCCCTGGCAATGCAACTTCGTTAGGAGACGCTCGGCTGGACCCACAGAGGCGAGAAACGGCGTCCCTGAAGCATGCAGTGGCCCCGTTCAGCGCCAGGTGGAATCCCGTACAAGGTCCGGACGCCACAGCCCCTGCCACGGGCCCCGAGGCGTCACGGCAGGCTCCCCTGCTGCCCCGTCCATCCTCCACCGTCACCGCCCCCAGGACACTTGCTTCGCGTGGTGGAGCTTCAGTCCTCGGCCCTCCTGTCACAACAATCGCAGTCCCTGGATTACCCAACGCAAATTCTGTAAATATTGAAGATGACTGTCAGAGTGATCATCGCCCTGATAACAGAAGCAGGAAGAATCTCTGAAACGTCGACCAATTTCCGCCATATAACACGGGGCAACATCTCAAAAAGCAGCCATTTACATACCTGTCGCCGTGAAGACCTGAAATCTTACCCACGTGTGACACAGTGAAGCACTTTAAAGCTATTAATACAATACACAAGCAGCATCGCGGTTCTATGGACCTTATTTAGTCAGCAGCATTCAATCTCGTCCCACTGACCTACATCCCCAGTGCATTTGCAGGTATTTGATTCTGAGATAACGCAGTGAATTAACTTATCGCAGCCATGAATCCCTGGGGGTAGACATCCTCAGTCAAGGAATTCGTAATTTCTTCATTTCCCCCAGGTACGTATATACCAGAATATCACAACAAAATAGACCTACAAGATCCTTCCCATTTAACATTCCCCAATCCAGTGTTTTTCAACAGGTGTGCCATGACGTGAGTCTCAAGTGTGCCAAGGCGTTCAGAATTCGATTAAATTTGTATCCTAATTTCCTCCGTTTGGAAGGAAAGACATTACCTTTGAGATCACCATTTTGCCTGTGTCTTCCATCCATCTTCAGGACCAAGTGCCCAATGAACTTTATGCCACTGAAGACCACCCCAACATCTACTATGTCATTTCCTACTGAGCTACCCAATATCATGGCAGACGTACGAACCTACGAAACTGGCGCGGCAAGACCACTACCTCATACAAATCTATTGTTCCGAAATTATTCTCGTATATGGCAGCAGACCAATAAAGAGTACGCAAGCCTTTAACAATATAAAACAACGTCGTGGTGACATGAATATGATCAACAGTGATTAACGTACTAGTGTGCTATTCAAAAGGTCCCGAATTTGAATCCAAAAGTAAAAAAAAGATCCGTCAGTACAGCGACAATCCATCACCTGAGTACAGGAGTAGAGCAAACTCATATCGTCGCGTAGGACTTACTGAAGTTACATTAGACAATGCTCAACATAACAGATCATTAGTATAAGGAATTTCTATCTTCTCACCAATATTCACAGAAGGCTCAGAATGATTATAATAAGGCATATTAAACAGTTCTTCATTAACATGTATGCTATTTGTACAGAACCGAACTAGACAAAAAATTAATGTAGTTTTCTAGCAACGACAAAGATGAAACTCATAAAAACCGCAAACAGTAGGACGAAAACAAATAAAAATAATGTAAACACATGAGTGAATTAGATCAACAATATGTAAATATAACAGGAAAAGTTTAACTATGAATTAGTAAATACGTATTTCTAAGCGGGATCTATGACGACAAAACGTGAATTTACTCTAATGCCTGTAAGTTGGCAGAGTAAGCATAGCAGAAACCAGTGTACGTACCCTAACGGGTCAGTTCCTGACGGCAGTGTATTGACTTTTCCTCGTCAAAGGTCCTCCATACATGTATGCACATATGCTGTGAAGAGCGACTAACGGTTGAACGAATACACACTCACGTCGCCACTAAAACGAACCATAACAACTAAAGTTTGAGTTTACGTTTGATAATATTTTTTACAAAAATTCAGTAATATCTGATTTGAATTTTAAGTGATGTTCATGACACCTAATGACACATAGCGAAAGCAGCAAGCCTGTCGGAGATGCGATATTCAAAGCACTGCCCTACTTCTGTGGCCTACGGTGGGATAGCTGTCGTACCGCTTCCTCTGTTCGTGACTCATCTCATGTCTCTCGATCCTGCACCGTCAGGACGCAAGTGGCGCTTTCTGTCTCTATAATGACCCCAGCAATGAAACAAATTTATACACGAAGATTTCTGTCTTCTGGGTTGTTGCGCCCTGATGACGGAGGCAGTATGACCTCTGAAACGTTGGTAAACATCGACCAGACTATCGCCCTGATGATGGAGGCAGTATGACCTCTGAAACGTTGGTAAACATCGACCAGACTACACAGCGCAACAACCCAGAAGACAGAAATCTTCATACTCACCGCTGTGAAAACCTCAAATCTTACATAATGCCTACTGATTAAGTTACAAATATACGCGTTAGTTTGTCACTGTACAAAGTAAAATAAACTCTTGCGTTAGGTGGGACCGTCTCAGAACACAGAAACCATATGAGGATTCACAAGATATCAAGACACCGTCTACTGATCAGAAACATTAACAGAAAAATCGACTTGTTACGTCGCAGTATAAAACAGCATGAACGTCGTGATAAACTTAATCAAAGGCCGCGCAGTGTTCGTGAAGCAAGATGATATTGACTACGCAACTGCTCCGATATTAAGTTTGTTTGTATTGCCGCTACAGAGAGGCTTCAAATTAACATGCCTGGAAAATCAATTTCCTTTACTGACATGGTCTTTGCACTTTGCGATGAAAGTTTCTGCTGCGGAAATGAAAAATATTTTTTTAATAAATTCGGGGGGTGGGGGGGTTTACCTTCCACAAATAGGAGGCTTCTTATTCTGCGAATTGACGCGTTTATTTATAGTTGTTACATGCTAATGGCCAATAGTAGTTCTTTGTGGTACTGGACCGATGCCATGTGCTGTACAACAGCAAATCAAGTTAAATTTAAACGTTTACAGACAGGCAGACTACAACGGTAATCCCAAAACTTATTTATTTGCGTCATAGAAACCTTGTGTTCTAACGAAATCAAAATCAAAATTAAAATCCACAGATACGAAAAGTCAAAGGCAGTCACAAGAAAATCTTTTCGTGCTGTTAATGAGAAAAACTAAAAATACCTTTACTTTCTGATTTGTCTTCTTCTTTTTAATGCTTTCCTTTTGAGTCCTTCGCAAATTAAATATTTCTGATATAAACAGAACCATCTGTTGATGATTATTACAATCCTCTTATTTTATTATAAATTAAATCGTTTCCTATTTTTTTTATAAAGAACTAAAAACTTCCATCATTTATGATACTGTGTTTGTACACAACAGAAAAAATGTTCCAATTACTTCTTTCTGAATGTGACGATTTCATTCATTTGATAAAACGTTAAATACATTACTTAATTTTAATAAACGTCCTTTTACAAAATTGACATGATTAATTTGATACGTCTGTGTAAAAAGAAAAAAATGTTCGGTATATTTTTTTCTAAAACTTCTCACTTTCCTCACGTAACCAAGCATGAACTTTTCTTTGTTTCATTCCAGCAGATGGCAATATTCAACGTCATTAAATACGAAGACGACTGTCAACTGACATGTTGCCCTGACAATGGAGGCATAAGCTCCTCTGAAACGTCGGTCAATATCTACAATACTGTACGAAACAACATTTCAGAAGACAGAAATCTTCACTCTGCTTCGTTATAATCTGAAATCACACTAATTTACTGCCGTAGGACTATGCTTAATGCATCTTATCGTGGTTTTCTTCAATACCACAAGGCATATGATGGTAGGCTTGTATGATGACACGCCATGGATATTTTCTTTCTCGTATTTTATAATTCATATTTCACAAATCATTCGACGTTGGTATTTACCAGCGAGTCCACACGGCGTCAGACCGCAAAACAACAACATCGATATTTTCACTGTCGTGCGAAGTTTAGTCAAACAGCTGCTTCTATAGTCGATAAAGTGGAAACGTTTCAGGAAGAGAAAAATAAAGAACTAAGAGAAGGTAGAATGACTGACAAGGGAGTGGAGAGGCACCAGAAAATTGCTCCATAATCATTTCGTTAATAAAACAACAAAAAAGGAACATTTTACTTAATAACAGTAATAACAACCTCCAATGCAGCGGTCATGATAATCTTCACCACGTCTCACTGAAAGTTTCAGCACATAAAAGTACAGAGCCGCTCGGCAACCGTTTCTGTCCTTAACTGTCGCCTCAGCACGGTCTCTGTGTTTCAGCGTCGGATCACAGGGTCTTCTGGTTGCAATGTGCATGTGTGTCCGTACTTTATCTTTCTCAGTCACCTACATTTACTTCAGTTAGAAACTCTTCCGGTCTAAGAAGGATCCTTGCATGGAATCGCTCTAATATGTTTACACAAAGAGTGTTTGAAGGAACTGCTGTAACATTACAGGGTTATGAACCTCCTTTGTTAACAGGCCTAAAAACTCCATCTAGGGTTCTGTAGACCTTACCTCAGGCTTGTTATTTATACCATAAATATGTTTTGTAAGTGTTTTTTATAAAACGTATGAAGTTCGATTTGAGCTGCATAAAACAGAGGTCACGTGCTGCGACGATTGAAGTAACATTAAACTAGTCAGACAACGTTTAGTGCAAACTTTCAAAACCAAATTTTATCTACATCCAGTGTAGCTTGTAAGTTAAAAACAATCATTCGGACTAAAGGGTGGAGGGACATACAATCTCTATTGAACGTTTATTTTATGTTTATTGTACAAAAAACGTGTGAAACATACATATTCGATTAGACACCTAGTGGACCCCGAGCCGTAATGGACGGCGAAAATAAATATTCCAAACACAGCGGAGTATCGAATCCCGGTCTTCCAACCCGCAATCAGTCACGTTATTGACCGAATTGTCCCGGCTATGATCTGCCACGTAAGTCAAGATAAATTCAAAATTTTATCTCAAAACGTATTATGGCGTCTATTTCCACTTTTATTAATTAAAAAACTAAAGTCAACCCAATTTTATTACTCAAAAGTTCCTAGTAGTTGATACAGAATCGTTATTACACCACGAACCAACCAATCAATCAATGCCTGTTATGAACGTTCGCGCATATTATTTCGTCGCCTTGCCTACATGGTTCGATAAGCGTACACTCGATTTATATTAACGGTATCCCGCTTGGCTCAATGGGGAAGTACTTTGTTTAGCAGTCAAATTTGTTACGCCCATTTACACATCGTAGAGAACAAAGCTGTGAAAACTTTTCACATCAGAAGGCCTTACTGATAAGTGCGGAGCCATTAAGGGCTGCACAAAGGTTTCCCTATAATAATGCATCGGTTCATTTCTCACTCGCCATTCATTGACCGTTTCTCTCTTCTTTCAAAGTCCACGTTCATTCCATAATCTGCATTATATAAAATCTAGTAGGACGTTTGCTTTGATTGATGTTTGTTTGCGCTCAAATAGGCCCAAATGTTCTCAATAATGACACTAGGAGGAAAGATATTGTGTATTACAAGTGCTGCTACCATTAGACAGCTTTCAGAAGCGCTTCTAATATGACGATAAAAACGCTAAAATAACTTAACGTGGTTGATATATTCCATTGTTGTTCTACGCTGAATTTTTACAAAACGGAGGGAACGAGGTAAATATATGAAAAGGATAAGACAGAAAGGGGTCAGAAGCTAGAGGTAGGAGATAAAGCATTCTCCGTTGAATTTCAACGGGCCTTTCGAACTAGTGTTGATTATAATATCAATATACAATATCCAAAAACAGATATGTATCTGCAATTTTAAGTACATAAGAGGCCAACAAGGTGGAACAAAACTGCGAAGGAACGTTTGGAAGATGTGTACGCTGCAGCGGGGGAAGTTTCTCTGTGCGAGTGTGGAAGTGGACAAGGCATTAATCATGATTCAGATGAGCTGTATCAGATTAAGATTAATCAGTTATCCACGAATTAAGCTGACAATTAATATTGATTATCCCATGGCCAACAAAGTAATATACTTAATTAAGAATCACTGCCTGGACATAAATGTCATACGAGTCTCAAAACTTGAAGGATACAATTAACATTGCTAGAATTAATCTATAATCCATGTCATGATTTATACAGTGTGGATGTTGAAATAACTAACTTCGAAGAGATGGCATCTGGATCCTATTCTGAAATAGTTTAATCCAATCCACACCCTGGCATACAATTTATTTAAGATCTGTTTAACGTTGTATTCCCATCTACATCTAGGTCTCTCAAGTCGTCTCTTCACATTAGGTTTTCAATAAAAATTCTGCACGAGATCTTACCCAAGCTTCAGAGGATACATGTCCCGCCATTTAATATTTCTTAACTTAATCACCCTGTAGTGGTTGCTTAAGGGTACAAATTACTCGTATGCTACATTTACAAATGTTACAATTGCGTACCTTTTGAACAATATTCACGCGGAGGAGTCATGGACCTTTTTTTCAGAATCGCCTTTAAACTTTATTGTTTAAATCTTGTTTTCCGCCATTGTCCTCGCATGTTAAATGTATTACTACTTTAGTAACCGCTAAGGAATGACGAATTTATATACATATATGATGAAACCAGTACTCTGAATTTACCTTCTGATAAGGCAACCTCAGAAACGTAAACCTGTCAATAATTTTATAAGATCTTGGCTAATACGACAAATAATAACTAATGGATTGACAGATTTGTTTAGAGGAAGAACTTAAATTACATTTAAAATGATTTGATATACCGTGACACGTGTGCAGAACAAATATATTGTTCATAGACAATTACTATTTCAATAACAGCATTAGCGATTACATTTTGGGCGCAATAAAATTGTTTAAAATGAAGGTACGCAGGACGGAGACAAACATAATATTGATTGTTGGACATATTAATCAGGGTTGAACTAGTACGCCCAATGTGAATAGACTACACGCGTCACACAGGAGTAGGAGAAGTTGCCGCATCGATACGGCGATTATTTCTGTTACATGTCTGCATGAATATTGTAACATGTATACATGATGTCGGCTACTGTCATTTCGACCGTTCAAATATTTAATTTTCGATACTGCCGAACAAAATTTAATTAAAATTGGTTGGATCTATACTTTAAAAACTGCCGGCAAAATGTAATTTTAGTTCGTGTCTGTATAATATGTATTTGTTAATTCCACTTCGTTATGTGTGGGTATGCAAATCAGCGCTACGCATTTCAAGTAAGTCAACTTGGCATAATGGCATATCCATCAGTCTTTCCAGTAAACAGCTGACATATGCAACGCTGTGATGTCCGAGTGGATATTCGCTCCTTCTCATGTACCATTGCTCTTTCGTATGTACGCATAGGAAATGGACCATGTGATCTCGTCGATACACGTTTCCGACATTATGCAACCTAGTACTAAGTTGGAGATCGCGTATTGTCTGATTTATCATATTTATTTTAACGTGGGGCTTGACCGCTCTAACACTGGGATCCAATCCTATTTAACTCACAAATGTCAGTTATTCCTGCGTTATGTTGTCCTGTGTGTGTACAAGTCTACAGATGGGCAGAACCACGTTCAAGGAGTCTTGCCAAATGTGTAAAATGAATCACAATCCGTAAAAATTCACAGGAACAAAGAACGACTCATTGACTAGTGATTCCGAAGCAATCTAATTATTCTCGCTGCGTTTCATTGGCTTGCTGTTCACTTCTTACCTCATAAATCCAAGTTGCGACTTCGCTACTGTTGAGTGCAGTGGTGAAAGGCAACGGTTATTGGACGACTTCCAAGAAACACCTGTTGGCACGGTACTTGTTGCAGCAGCAACCTTCCACAGGCTCTACAACACACAGTATAACCGCCCAGTCAGTCTATTACCATGTAAAATAACGCGAGAAATAAATCTGCCTGGCAATCATAATGAAAGTCTTGAGATTAATCAGATCATGTGCGCGTGATCTGCGACTCTTCAAAAATTATTTTCAATTTAGTGATTTTAAGGCGAAGATTGCTTAATAAATAATACTTAACATTCAGTCCATATCATAAAGAAAACTAAACGAGCCTCAGGTGCAAAGATCAGGGGGGTAATTTTGTTTAATTAAATAATCATTGTTTAGTCTGAGAATTATACAAAAGCGCATACAGTTACCATTTGACCTAAAAGGGATAAGCTGCTCATCTTTCAACAAATACTTCGTGGAAGTTACTACATACCGCTATATCTGTATGTAATCATACATTTTCAGAAGATATTCTGGGGCATAGACTTTAAAATCTGACTCAATTCTTTAACAAAATATATATTCCGGAGCTATGGAAATGTGTACCGATATCCTAAGCTGCTAGAATAAAATCTCAAGGCACCCTTTAATTTAGAGTACACGCACTTTTTGAAAGAGTTATTTCCTATGCTGTAAACCTCATTAACCCTGATTTTCGTTTAATGAAGATGAAACAAGTTTTTCAAAAGCAATTCACAAATTCATATATCGTTAGGGGCTAGAAATTGTTTGTTTTTTATTAATATTCATCTACTGAAAATTCTTAAAATAAAAACCCTAGATCTCATGTGATCTTTATTTAATATCCTAACAATATTTTTACATAATAAACGGATTTTTCAGAAATTATATAATGTTAGATTTGAGTTTAAAAGAAATACGGTTTGTAAAATAAACCGAAGTAAATTTATCTACACCTTTCAGTGTAAATCTCAATACTAACTCCATGAAGTCCTTGTGATGTTTACAGTCGCTCAGCTGGTAAATAAATCGTCAACTTTTAATGGATTCATCATTCATTATCCAAAGGGGACGCAAAATAGTGACCAGAACAGTTGTACTGCAACACTGTTTTGTTTTCAAAATTGCCGTTTTTAGTTGTCAGTGATAGTGAGGTCCAGAGAGGTTGTAGAAATGCATATAACAATAAACGTGTAGCCTCGAGAAGTATTTTATTTCGATGTTATTATAATGTATGTATTTAAATGCGTTCATGCAGCACCACAATACAGTTGGAGGAATTCGTTGGAATCACTTTCCCAGTGCTGATATGCTGCAAAGCCTCGTAAAAATAAATATTTTAAAAGGAGTCGGAGCCAAAGAAATTCGCATGTGCATCTCTACAAAGTCACACTTGGTAAGATGAGAAATAACAGGGTCAATAAGTTCACAACTTATGTTTCTGTCTTGATTCTTCTGGTAATCTGAAATGTGTTCCGAATTCGCAACAGTGACAACGCAGCCTAAAAATTAGAATTTTCTTACATTATCTTACGTACACTTATCAGCCTATATAAAATAACAGTGACTATAAAGTAACTGGTTAATTACTAATAGTAACTAAATACAAGGTTTAATAAAAGGTGTGCAATTTATTGACTGTCTGAGCGAGGGTTTAGTTTCTCAATAAGGACACTGCTTCATGGACTTTGTCAGGTTAGGTTCATCGCCGTGTTCGCAAGGACCCTTTACCATTTCCGATCTTGAGCCAGATGAATACACTCTCCACTCTATTTCCGTTAGATCTATCTTAATTTTAACCTCCCTATATCCCGTGAACGGTCTCTTCATTAGGCTTTCCAACCAAAATTTAGCAAGCATTTCTCATCTCCCTGCTAATTTAAAAATATTTCTGATTGATAAAGTAAAGAAATCGTATAAATTAGGTATGGATATAGGTTTTAAGCAATCAATCCCAATTCATCATTTATCTGATCGCCTCAATAATATTTACTGAAGGTACAAATTATGAAATTCGTAGTTTACTTTTCTCCAGCCTGCTGCTACTTTCTTCCTCGTCTGAGATAATTTTTAAATCAATTTTAATCGAAATAGCCTAGTATGGGTTTAACATTGAAAGGCGAAAGAAGAGGAAACAATGGTCAAATAAAGTTATGCTGTGAGCAAAGCGAAAATATGGCTGTTCAATAATATCGTGCACAGGTACGGAAATTCATGCGAAGTAAACTAGGATTCAGCTTCCTAACACATTTTCAAATAATGATCTTGCAAAAAATATCCACAATATTCCACACACGTCGAAATCGACTTTTGTTCATCAGCAGTGAGTGCGTGTGAGAGTGCCTTCATTCAAGTGTTGAAATCACGAACAATAGCTCCAAAGTATAACAAACAGCGCGTCGGATAATTCCGTACAGCGACACAGCCATTGCTTGTATTATCCAGTTCGATTTTTTAATGGTACCGACAGAGTATAATGACGTTTCGTTAGTTGGTTAAAATCTCATCATGCTAAAGAGATTCTAACACAAATAGGATTACACTCGAGAGAACTATATTTGTCCGTCTATTCACTACTAATTAGCAATAATGAAACAATGTGGCCCAATCAGGATTGTAGCGTATTGTTCTTCTTCATAGAAGATGCCCTAAAGCACCAGGGGACAAAGGTTTTTGCAAAAGAGCTTAAGGGATTACAAGTAATATGCTGGTGTATAGGGCAGTTATTTAAGGCTTAGAAGAAGCAGGATCTATCTCTCAACGGAATGGCCAAAAATATTTTATTCTGTTTAAATCGGGAAACTTCTTGACAATTTGCATTGAAAGCAAGATATTTTTAAAAAGTGTCCCAATACTGAGTTTACTTTGTCAAAACATTATGAACTGCGTTTCATTACTTACTTAAGGCACCATTTTGGAACGACATTTTTAGACTATTTATTTAGCGGTAAAAGATCCTATCAGTTAAATGTATTCTTCCTTCACAGAGCAGGCCTTCATACACAGGACAACAAACAAGTAGAAAACCATCCACGACCTAGTTGGATTCAAATCCACTATCCCAATGCTCTAGCCTTAATGCAACCACTCAGCCGCGATGTTCTGTGTGCGGTAATGTGGTATTTGCGGGAGACAACGAAACATTCTTAACTTTCGCAAGTGGAAACCAATCACGAGAAACTTGTTCAGAATAATTAACCACGGGTTTCGACCTAGGGACTAGATGCAAGCAAGAATAAAATAAATAAAAATGTCTCTCTAGCAATGAATGTCAATAACTTCAGCTGTTTTGAAAATAATGAATAAACTTCTTTCATCGACATGATAAAAGAAGCAAGTCATTTATAAAAAAGGAAACGCAGCACAGCAATATCTGAAAGATATCCAGGAAGGATAATATTTCGTCGTGGAATGCATTTTTATTTGTCGTTCAACGGAAGGAAGGCAGATATTGATCCTAAGAGGGGAGAGACAAATACAGTACTTCATTCAGCTACGGTCCCCTCCCTTCAGAGCATATCACCGTAGACTGACCAGCTCTAGGTATTGTTTACATTTATTTTTTTCCCCGAATTGAAAACGTTGTAAATAAAAGTTACAGATCTGTACATGAGTTCTACCTAAGTTTCGAGAACCTATTTTTACCACGAACCGTCTTTGAGGATTTAAATTTCGATTTGACGTAAATAATGGATTATAATTGGCTGTCATACATCACAATTAAATTTCCAAGCAATTTTAGTATGTATTCCAATACCAAATTGTATCGAATTTGAACAATTCAGAGACAAGGAATGTGGACGGGCAGATGAGACTTTCTCAACAACGTCAATTTTGTACACGATGTGCAGAAACTGCAAAACAAAAATGATTACTACCCCTGTAATTTAACTGCAGTTTTCAATGTTTACTGCGGGTATTATGTTCTTTGTACATAACAGATAATAAATAATATGAAACATTGGCACATCTCCATAACAAATTATGTACCGGAAACAATATTTTAACAAATTATGGACTCAAGAGAAGGTGCATCGAAAGAAGGAGACCCTTATAACTAGTTAATACCAACGTATATTTGGGGTGGAAATGTAATAGGGCATGTAAATACAGATTTTACGTGTCCATAGAACTGTCTGGTTAACACCTGACGGCTGAAAGAGCTGGGGAAGGCTTCCACAACACATGGACCTTTACACTGCTTCTAATCAATATGGAGAGTCTCGAAATAGCTGTAACGTACGAGAACTTGCCACTAAACAGAATTAATCATAAAAGTACTATAAATGCAAAAGGCTTGATGTATTTTGTTTCTTCCTTAGTTTCTTTAACGATAAATCTTTCATAAATGCACCATTTATTATTGCAGAAGATAATAACATAGTGTAGAGATGTTCTATTTTTGTGAAACCACTACCAATAATAACTGCTGCTATAATTATCACTAATTTGTGCACCCAGATTTGAAATATTAGCTTATTGTTATACTTTATCTAATTACTGAAATAAATTCAATCACGAATAATAATATGATATTAACAATTATTTTATTTTTAATTTTCATATTTAATTCTGCATAATCATTCTTCTACTGAAAGCCTAATGGCGCACTTGGCAAAGCCTTATCATAAATTACAAATTCGTAAAGAAATTAAAGACAGGAATTGTGTTTCTTACAGGATATTCTCTCCGAAAAGGACAAGAAATACATAAAAATACATTTTATGACATTGGTTTTCTTCATACGACTTCGTGCCACAGAATTAAAGACCATCAAACACTAAAACAAATTTAATGCTGGGCCAGTTGATTCCAGTCCACAGCCTCACACCCCAATCTAAGATGCATTTTAATATTATCCTCTCTTCAACGCCTAGGTCTCCCATGTGGTCTCTGTCTTTCAGATTTTCTGACTGAAGTTTTGTACGTAGCTCTCGCGTGTGCTACAAGCCCTTCCCATATAATCCTCCTTGATGTAATCACCCAAAAATATTTTGTAAAGAATACTTCTCACTAACATTCTCCAATTTCCTGTTATTCTCTCACTCTTGCATTGCATACAAATAGTCTCCACTATCTACGATTACGAAAGTCC